ATATTATCTATTATCAATCATTATAAAATTCTGGTTGGGATCAGTTTAATTTCGATCGGGATCGGCTAAACTTTTTAAAAAATAATTACTCTAAAATTTCGCAATTTCGTTTCAATTTCTTTTTCAAATATGATGTCTAACATATCCTTTGTAGCTGTGACTTGTTTTTTTGAATATATTATCCATATGATTTGAAAGTATTCACTATGTATTTTTCAAAAAAAAATTTTTAGTAAAAAAAATAAAATTGTCTATCTGGCTTTTCTTTACATATTTTATGAGATATTTATATTATGCATTCATTAACATCAAATTTTTAACTATAAAGCATCTTATTTGCAAATAAAACATTTCTTTTTCATTTTCTATGAAAAATTGGAGAAAATTCTTATAAAATAATTAAGAGCTAGGCCTTTCAATGCTGAAACCATGACTTAACATGCATGTCTTAAGACCAATGGAATAAAATTTGGGTGTGGCATTCCTCCTTTAGGAAGTAATTATGGGTCCAGTTCCTAATGAATAGAAAGCCTCATTTGCGGTTTGTCTAAACAAGAGCATAAATTATTGATATAAAATTTTATTCAGAAGAGAAATCACAAATAAATACCTCACCTTTAATATCATCAATGTTCATTTTTTGCATACTAAAACATACATCAATAAAAAGAATTGTTATAACTTTAAAAATATTAACTAAATAAATCTATACTAAAAAAAAGTCTAACATTTCTAATGTTTTACTGAGCGATCATAAAAAAATGATGTTTGACTGCAGAGTGAGATATTGGACATTGGACCGCTTACGTCACAATGTTGGCGGGATCAGCTTAATCTTATTTTCATCTGTTGGTGTTCGACAGTAACAGAATTGACCAAATTCAACCGCAGTGCAGGTACAGGAAATTAACATCATAGAAGCCAGCTTGAGTACAGTCACAACTGAGGTAATGTGTAGTAGGCCTCTCGGAGCAAATAGAGAACAAGTATCAGCTGTCAACATGCAGTAGACCTGAAACAAAGTGGGAAAAATTATTACATCACTTATGTCAACTAAAGGTGGTGTGAGTGAGCTCACAAAATAATAAGGTTATAACCCTGCTGCAATTCTTTTATTTAGAATGTGTAAATGTGACCTTGAACTTACCAAAATGACTTTGGTTAAAAAATGACAGATCTTTGGATATAAGTAATCTAAGAGTGAAATATGGACATCCAATTTTTCTCCATTAATACAAAATAATAGACTTACATTTTTTCAGCCAGAGACCTTGAACTTGTCACAATGACCCTCAGGTCAGAAAAATTTTTGTAGCAAATTAAAGCTCAGTTACAAAGTTACTGACGGGACAAGAATGTTATCCCTTATCTGCCAGTGACCTTGAATTTGCCAGAATGACCTTGGTCAAGGTCAAGACAAACTTCCAGGTCATAAACAATCTTTGTACATGTAGCAAGTAAGAGTTTCCAATGATTCTCCATTACAAAGTTTCAGCCTACACAAGTGTTTTATACCTTTTAATCCAGTGACCTTGAACTTGCCAGAATTGCCATGGGCCAAGGTCATGACACACTCTCAGGTCTTCAATAATCTTTGTACCAAGAATAAGCTTCAATGATTCTCCATTGCAAACTGATATCCTGGACAAGAAGTTTATATCTTTTCTGTCAGTGACCTTGAATTTTGACAGACTGTTTCATGGGATCCCACTAATCAAGTCGGGTTCATCAGGACATTTGAGCAATATAAGCCTTAAAGATTCAACAAACTTTCATAAAATAATTATCGTTAATATTAATAAATTAGCTTAAAACTATACTATACTTAACTATTTACATCATATTGAAACATTGTACTGAACAAAAGTAGCTTTGACCTCGACTTGTCAGTAACAGCTGTGACTAAAAATAGTGATTGGGTCATGTGGGGATTTTTTCTTTACACAGCAATGACTGTTTACAATCTAACATATAAGAAAATTTCTTTAAAAGTTTTTAGATTATTTATTTGAAGGAATGAAATGGGGGTTCAACAGTTATTTTATCAATACGACCAATTGGTCTTTCACACGACTGGACCACTCATTTACTAGACTGGGTCAAACATGCTTTAGTGTCAAACCCTGTTGAACTAGCCAGAATGACCTTGGGTCAAGATCTTGACACACCAACAGGTCATAAACATTCTTTGTACCAAGTTTGAGCTTCCAATGACCAACAAGTTGGCACCAATAGACTGATTCTTATATATTCTCCCAAACTTTATTGTGGGGGTAGAAGACCAGCATGATGAATATAAGTTACCTGCCCAGCCATGAGGACTGCACTGCAACCATTCCTCCAAAGCAGGGATTGACATTAACTTTCAGATTCACTTGCCCTTCGGGCAAGTGATCTCAAATTTTGACTTGTCCGAATGCAAAACTTGGTTGCCCAAAATTAGGAAAGAACTTAAGAACTTAAGAAGAAAATTATTAATCAATGTAAACGTTATGATAAG